ACACTGGCTTTGTTTCAGTAAGCCCATATCTTTCTTGTACTGAGGAGCCCAGAAATGGATACAGCATTCCCAATGTATCCTCACCAGCAGTGAGCAGAGGGAAAGGATCGCCTCCCCTGACCTGGCACCTACATTCTTCCCAATGATGATAGCCACCCTTGCTGGCTCGTGGTCAACCTGGTGTTCATCAGGACCTTCAGGTCATTCCCTGCTGAGCTGCTTTTCAGGCAGTCAGTCCATTTCTCCAGCCTGCCAAGGTCCCTCTTAATTGCTACAACAACCTTCTCAGGGATGTGGTAAAATTCCCATCACTGGACATTTACAAGATGGATTTGACACAGTGCTAGACAAACTCATCTAGGTTCCCTTTCCAATGAAATTTTGGACCAGATGATCTTTTGACCTTCACCTCACTGTCCATCCATACTTCATCACCTTGTCTATGAGGATGTTACAATAGACAGTATTGAAAGCCTTACTGAAGTCTGAAAATCAACCCATTTTCCTGGATCTCTCTTCTCTTGAGGACCATATTCTATGTGATTCTTCCACATACATCCCTGAAGAGGTCGAAGCCTGCTCTCCTAAATCCAGATTTGTCATCTCACAATTTGTCATGCTCTTTCCTCTCAGTATCCTGACCTGCATCATCTCCTGGTCACTGCAGCCCTGACCTTCACATCCCCAATTAGTCTTTCCTTCTTTTTGAGTTCCAGCAAAGCATATTCCCTTGTTGGTTCCTCAATGACCTGTGTCAGGAAGTTATCACCAATGTATTCCTGAAACGTCCTGGATTGCATATGCCCTGCTATGTTGCCCTTCCAGCAGATACCAGGGTGGTTCAGCTTCCCCATGAGGACCAAGGCCTGTGAACATGATGCTTCTTCCAGCTGTCTGAAGAAGGCCTCATCTACTTCTTCCTCTTCTTCAACTCTACAGGCTAGTTGCTGTGGAAAGTTCCTTTCACTGAAGAAGACTCCTTGAAGTTCAAGGCCTATGTACACATGACTGAAGCGCAGCTCTGCAGACCGGCTGCAATGTGCTACCTCTCATCCCCACCTCCCAGCTTCACAATTACTGGACACGCCATGTGCCAACATAGGGCTCTACTCTGTTCGACTGAGACCAGAAGTTGGGCTTCTTAGCTCTTAATTTTATTTTTTCTGACTTGGAGACATTGGGTACCTGAAAGCTTCTCAAATGGACACAACATGAGGAGCTATCATAGAATCATCATTGAATCACTGAACGGCTTGGGTGTAAAGGGACCCTAAAGATCTTCTAGTTCCAATGCCATTGCCATGGGCAGTGATACCTCCCAATGGACCAGCTTGCTCCAAGCCCCATCCAACCTGGCCTTCAACACTGCCAGGGATGGGGCAGCCACAGTTGCTCTGGGCAACCTGGACCAGCGTCTCACCGCCCTCACAGCAAAGAATTTCTTCCTAAGATCTCATCTCAATCTCTCCTCTTGCAGCTTTAAAACATTCTCCCTTGTCCTGTCACTCCCTGTCCTTGTCAAAAGTCCCTTCCCAGCTTTTCTGTAGCCCCTTCAGGTACTGGAAGGTGCTCTAAGGTGTCCCTGGAGCCTTCTCTTCTCCAGACTGAACAACCCTGGCTCTCTCAGCCTGTCTCCAGAGCAGAGCTGCTCCAGCCCTCTGACCATTTTCATGGCCTTTTCTGGGCTCACTCCAACAGCTCCATGTCCTTCTTATATTGGGGGCTCCAGAACTGGACACAGTTCTCCAGCAGGGGGTCTCACACGAGCAGAGAGGGAGACATACAGCCCTGGCTTCAAACTCAAGGCACAAGACCAACAGGGGTTAGACAATAAGAGCTGTCTTTGTTCCTGGCTCATTTTACAATGACAACTAGCAAGAAGGATGATCAGGATCAAAATACAGTGGAGGATTTATGATATTGACCTTTATCCATAGGGAGCTAGACCTGAAAGCACTAGCACATGGCTTCCCACTACCACAAAACTGCCTTCTACTCAGGATTGTGAAGCAAGAAAATGCTATAGATGACTTTTCTAGAAGACAGATCAAAAAGGAAAAAGCCCGGCTGATAAGTGCACATAAAAAGAGCTATTAACCACAATCAGAAAAAACATGCTTGATCATTATAAACTCCAAACTTGTTATTGCTGTGACAGCCTGCAAAGAAGGTTCCTGCAGAGAAAGACATTATCAGTGCTGATGTCTGGTGCAGCAGTTGACAGTGTTAGCTCTGTCTCTCTCAGCAGGAGTGTTTCTTGCAAGGGGCGGAAAACGACATTTCTTTTATTTGTGTGTAGACAGTTATTATTTGCTTTATTTGAACGTAGGACACTTGGCAAAAAAAACAAAACAAAACAAAACACCCTAACAAGCTGAACTGTGAAAAGGATTTGCCACAAGCAAATGATGAATAGTCAAAGATCTAAGTTTTGGGTTGGATAATTCAAGCAAAGCAGGGAGCTATTTCTATAACTGAAAGCAATGTTAATGGTCTTTGATGAAAGGAAGACACTATTTGCTTTCAGCATTCTTGGAGATACATCTGAGCGAACGCTGTCAAAAAGTTCTGCCTACTCCAGGCACTTGGAATTATTAATTAGCAACAGAATGGCCAAAAATTGGTATAATCATCCACTGCCTTAATCAAGCCCATGTTTACCTTCCTCTCCTCCAAGGCCTTGTAGTTATACCTATAGTGTGCCTAAATTGCCTGCCTGTGGATGCAGCCTGAAGCCTAGGTTGCTCCTGGGACCTGCCATCTCACATCCATGTCTTCAGATGGTTTTAAAGAAGTTCAAGTTCAAGGCTGCCTGGCAAATACCATGTGCCCTGGCAGCCCAGAATGTCAACCATGTCCTGGGCTGAATCCGCAGGAGAGTGACCAGCAGGGCAAAGGAAGGGATTGTCCCCCTCTGCTCTGGTGAGACCCCCTTGCAATACTGGATCCAGTGCTGGGGTCCCCAGCACAGGTAGGACATGGAGCTGTTTGAGAAAGACCAGAGGAGGCCACAAGGATTATTCGAGGGCTGGAGCAGCTGTGCTCTGGAGACAGGCTGAGAGAGTTGGGTTTGCTCAGGCTGGAGAAGAGAAGGCTCCTGGGAGACCTTAGAGCACCTTCCAGTACCTGAAGGAGCTACAGGAAAGCTGGGGAGGGACTTTTGACACGGGCATGAAGTGAAGAAACAAGGGGAACATTTTCAAGCTGCAAGTGGGGAGACTGAGATGAGATCTGAGGAAGAAATTCTTTGCTGTGAGGGTGGTGAGACACTGGCCCAGGTTGCCCAGAGCAGCTGTGGCTGCTCCATCCCTGGTAGTATTGAAGGCCAGGTTGGATGGGGCTTGGAGCAACCTGGTCTGGTGGGAGGTGTCCCTGCCCATAGTAGAGGAGTTGGAACTAGATGATCTTCAAGGTCCCTTCCAACCCAGACCATTCTGTATTTCTATGATTCTGTGAACAATCCAATATGAGCTCCCAAAAGTTTTTGCTGCAGCCTAATGCAACATCAGGCTAAGGAGCAGAGGAGTAAGGTGGAAAATGGTGATTATACCCACATACTTATTGCTAATCAGATCACACCTTATTTCAGTGATGTGCATCTTCAAAAATAGGTTTTAAAGGGTATAGGAAACAGGCATTAAAATGATTCAAAGGCTGGGGAATATGCCAGATGGAAAGGACTTCAAAGAGCTCAATCTGTTTAGTTTATCAAAAAAAGTTCAAGTGTTGGCTTGAAGCAGCATAAAAGTCCTTCCACAAGGAAAAAAAACTGGTTACAGAAGAATTTAATAAGCTAGCAGGGGAAGATTTAAATGATGGAAACTAATGCTAGAGGTATTCAGACAGGACACAAGGTTTCATCTTTTAATGGTATAGGGGATTAATAATAAGAAATTAGGGATGTGATGAATTTTTTCATTTCATGATAACCCCAAAAGAAGTCTAGGTACCTTCGTGGAAGATATATTTTAACCAAATTCTAGTTACTGAGCTCAAAACTGGAAGAACTGTGTGAAACGAGAGGGCTCAAAAAATCCAGGAAGCCAGACTACATGATGTAATGGCCCACCTTGGATAAAATTCTATGAGTCATCAGCAGAAATTTAAACTGAACTCTGAGGGAGGAATATGCTCCTGGTGATATGTGAGCCCAAACCCCCTCAGCTATATTAGCAGATCCCAGATATAGTACACAGAGTGGGAGGTTAGGAAATGCATTTTGTTATTTATAAATTGAGTGCATCACTTCAGCTTCCAAAATATCAAGCCTCAAATGCTGCCAGGATTAGCAGAGAAGCCAGAGGATGGGTACTAAGGTCTCTCCTATGAGCTGACATGGAGCACACCAGCCGCTCAGAAACTTAGGATGATAATTACTTTGCTCCGGAGTTACGCTAGAGTCTTCTGGTACAGAAGAAGAACAATTGGCAACTTCCATTAAGAAATTCATACACAGTTTTTCATTTAAAAACAACTAATTTGGCAAAATAACTACACCTGAACTGAATACTTGTATGCTTTAAACGATGTACATTAGAACTTTCAGGTTTTACGTATTAGCTTTTATATGTAGACTGTATGTCTGTTTGATATATCCATATTTCTAATCAACAAAATCTTTAAATTCTGATTTCATTACTCATGATCTACCCACAGAAAAACATAAGTTAAATTTTTCTGTGACCTGAGAATTTGTGAAGTGAACCTCAGAATTTTGCCTTAGGACTTGAGAATTTAAAATCTGGCCAGATAGGATGGTGAGCAAATGCTCTAGCTGACACTGCCTTAAGGACTTGGGCTAGATGGTCTCCAGAAGTCCCTTCTGACCTCAACAATTCTGTGATTCTACAAATTTGGCCCATTCACACAGAACTTGCCTTGTCATTCATGAATTGATGGTTCAGCGGAGTCCATGTGCTCATCTTGGTCTGTAGCTTGGGGCCATCCATGTTTCTAGGAAGTGCAAATGCCATAGGTACAGGAGATGGTGGGTCCTCTGATGTCTCGTCAGCTCCAGTGGCTAAAATTGAACAGAACCAAGACCAGCATTATCTCTGTGCTATTCCATTACAGCAAGTTTGTGAAAAGCAAGTAATTTTAAGAAGAAATCCAGTGATTTCCTAGCATACCAATGATACAAGTAAAATTATTTGAAAGTCAGTTAGGGTAAGCCCTTTGAATTTTTGGACCCAGAGTAACTGTGACCGTAAAGGCCCAATTTCCTGATGGAAACCCATGGTACACTCATGTAATATATATACACTTAATAATTAAGCAAGTCTTCCCTATCACAATTATTGAATATGCCTTTAATTTTTGCTGCATGTATGATCACAACAGGGTATTTTCAGTGAGCTAGAAAGTACACAAAATTTCTCATTCCAGTTGTTGGCCCTGAAAATTGCAAATAACTTGTGCATCTACTCAAGTGAGACTAGCCACGTTTTCACTAGTTTTTATCAGTATATAATGCCAGGTCTCATAGAGACAATTTGTTTCTCTAAAGCTTAACTGGGAGAATGAAGGGTTCAGAATTGACTGAAAACTCTCAGGGTCCTGTGTAAAAGCAGATTGGATTTGATGGTTTGGACTGACTGTGCTGCTCTTTTAAACACAAATTCCTGTGTGAAGTAAAAAGGACATTTGACAAAATTTTCCTTTCTCTTTTGCGGCACCAAATAACTGGACCACATTCAAACAAAGCCATTTCTTCATAAATTTTTACCCAAATATATAAGAAGCTTCTTTTTCCTTCATCTTCTATCCATAATGTCACTGCTCACCTCAGGCATCTAATTTCCAGACTGGAGGCTTAAGCTGCAGTAGCCTGAATACAAAGTAATTTCTTTACCATTAAAAAATATCTTTGCTCCCTGCATATAGTTATTAGGCATTTTTTTCTGTAAACACTCCAGATGGATTTAAAGCTTCCTGATGGCAAGGCAAATAATAGGACTTTTGAAACAAAAGAAAAGGCAACTCCACTAGGTAAATCCACTATTATGTTGTCAGACTATCCTGAGCCCAACCACCTCAAAACCACCCACCTAATGGACCTTTCAAATGAATGCATCTCTGAGGCTCATAGGACACACCTTCATGAAAGTGCAGTCCCACATTCCTTGCCCAGACAAAACTCCTACCTATATCAATGGAAGATTAATATTCAAAACCCACTGCAGGTTCTGAGCACAACACCTTTTTAATTAGTTTTTTCCTCGCTTTCTCTCCTAAGTTATTAAGGAATTAAAAAAAAAAAAAAAAAGTTTTATCTTTCTCGCTGCATCTGCTGGTGTAACATGGTTGGTGGTTAGGAAATAAGTTTATTACAAGAGTCTGAGTTGTTCTCACTTTTTTTTTTTTTTTCCCTAAAGATCATTAAATAACTGTCTGCATACTGTAATTTCACCTTCCTACAGAGAAGCCACTAAGTCTCCCATTCTGTAGCTAGCCAGTGTTAGAGGCTGCTTGTGCAACTGAGAAGCTGCATTTGGGACACACATTACAATGGGATGACTTGCTGGCTTGTCTTGGGATTGTTTTGTTTTTCTTCGAGGCCCCTGCCCTTTTCAATGCACAGAAACACAACATTACAAGCTAGAGAAACAACTCCACTGCCAACAAAACAGGTTCTGGCAACCATGTCCTGTTTTTCAGGGACAATCTTCTACATTAGTCACAAAACCATCAGTTGTCACTGCAGCACACTCCCAGCCCTGGATTCATGTTCCAGTTTCCCTGCATAGACAACTACTTTTTTGGTGCTGGAGCAGCAGCATTCCCAAAGCACCTCCATGAGCTGTTGTGTTAACAACACATAGCCCGATGAGACAGCTGTGTCTCTGGATCATCTTGTGCTCCTTCTGTGCCAAAAACGTGGCTCATGGAACATCTGGCAGAAGTCATATTCATAGAATCACAAAATGGTTTAGGTTGGAAGGACCTTAAAGACCATATCGTTCCAACCCCCTGCCACAGGCAGGAATACTTCCCACTAGACCAGGTTGCTCCAAGCCCTATCTAGCCTGGCTTTCAACACTTCCAGGGAGGTGCAGCCACAGCTGCTCTGGGCAACTTGGGCCAGTGTCTCACCACCCTCTTAGTGAAGAATCTCTTCTTAATATCCTATCTAAATCTCCTCTCTTTCAGCTTGAAACCATTCCTGTCACTCCCTGCCCTTGTCAAAAGTCCCTCCCCACCTTTCCTGGAGCCCTTTCAGGTACCGGAAGATGCTCTAGGGTCTCCCTGGAGCCTCCTCTTCTCCAGGCTGAACAATCCCAACTCTCTCAGCCTGTCTCCAGAGCAGAAGTGCTGCAGCTCTCTGACCATCTCTGTGGCCTCCTCTAGACCTACTCCAACATATTCCCAACTGCACCTGCCATAAAAATGCCTGAATCGCACTCCATGTTTGAGCGTGACCTGGACACAGGGTTGCGAAGGCAGGTCCCATCAGGCAAAAAGCTGACCTTAGTGCAACATTTTAACCTTCTACACAAGGTGTCAGCTTGCCATCCCTCCCTTGCTTCCCCTTTGTTGGCACAGTCACACAACCACCAGTCACTCTGCTCCTTATCTCCCCAGCTACACTCCAAATCGTGGTGAGGGGAAAGAGGTAACCTCAAGTCCAAGCCCAGCAGAGTGTGTTTACAGGATGAATTCTTCAGTGAAGTCAGGACTGTACAGTGTCACTTTAGAGCATGTGTTTTACTGGGGTGGCTCCAAGGCACACTGTACATGTACTCAGTGACCTTTCTTGTTAGGTGGCCTTGAATGTTATGGGATGCATCAAAGGAGCTGGTAGCATTTGAAAATCTAGAATCGTCTTACCTGTAACATTGAGGTAGCCTAAAAATTGGACTACAAATTCTTTACAGACCTTCTAAGAAGAGGCTTGGACTATAGAATCACAAAATCATTTTGGTTGAAAAAGTTTGGTTGAAAAAGACCTGATCATCAAGTCCAACCATTAACCCAGCACTGCCAAGGCCACCACTAAACCATGTCCCTCAGCAACACAGCTACACGGCTTTGAAATCTTTTCAGGGGTGGGTATTCCAGCACTGCCCTGGGCAGCCTGGGCCAGGGCCTGACAACCCTTGCCAGGAATAAATTCTTCTCCAGTGTCCAATCTAAACCTCCCCTGGCACAACTTGAGGCCATTTCCTTTTGTTCTATCACTTGTTACTGGAGCAACTATAGTTTAGCTTGTTTGATCTCTACTGGAAAACCTGCACTTGTCTTCACCCTCCATTCCCTATCCCTGACAGGATTAACAGCTAATCCTTCAAGCTTCTTCAAGACTCCAGAGCCACTCTGATCAGAGTTAATCTATGCCATGATACTGAGGTGGCTGCAGCAGCTAGCTCAGTACTCATGAAAAAGCAGCTGGAGTACTGTGCACACCAGTGATTGTTGAGTTGTTTAGCCAGGGCCCCACTTTTCTTCTGCAATAGTCGTTATCTTTGGATTGACTGCCCAAAATAACATTCCAGAGATTTCTCCAGCTTGTTCTGCATATATCCTAGGATGAAATTCATCAAGCTCAGCTGATCTGAAAACATTCAACCAGCAAGAGATGTGAGATGAGATTAACAAGAAATCAGGCTTTATATATATGTAAGGAAAATGCTGGTTCACTACCCAGAGAGGAAAAGCTACGGAGATGACGCAAAATAAAATCTCTTTCTCCTAGGAAAAATTAAAAGGCAATTTAGGAGCAGGTGGCAGGCATAACAAATACCAGTGCAAAAGAGATTTTCAGGAAAGAACAAGTTTTATTACTATATGCAGCGTTCTCAAGCTGGTTGTGTTTGATTAACTTTACACACAGCTGGTCAGAGGTCTCCAGCTGTTTCAAAGGAGCTACCTTACACAGTTTGCAGAGAGCAGGTGAGCCCAGCAGAGCACAAATGTTAAAAAACAGCAAAACTGCCTGAGCTCCTACAGCCAGAGAGCTCCTAGGAATGGGCCACAGTTTCAATTGAAGGGTATACTAAGTGGAGATCCAAGAGATTAGTGATTTTTGAGATGTATAAGAAAGATATACATTAATTTCACAGGGCTGGAAAGATTAATACATTGTCTAACAGTGACACAATTTCAAGACTGATTGAAATCGTGCTGAGGCCAATGGAGATACTTTCACTGATTTTGGTACAAGTTGGGCCAAGCACTTGGTTTAAAAATATTTGATAGCATTTAAGAAAGATCAACAATACATAATCGCAGAATGGTTTGGGTTGGAAGGGACCTTAAAGATCATCTAATTCCAACCCCCCAGCTGGCAGGGACACCTCCCACCAGACCAGGCTGCTCCAAGCCCCATCCAACCTGGCCTTCAACACTTCCAGGGATGGGGCAGCCACAGCTGCTCTGGGCAACCTGGGCCAGGGTCTCACCACCCTCACAGCAAAGAGTTTCTTCCTCAGATCTCATCTCAGTCTCCCCACTTGCAGCTTGAAAATGTTCCCCCTTGTTCCTTCTCTCCCTGCCCTTGTCAGAAGTCCCTCCCCAGCTTTCCTGTAGCCCCTTCAGGTACTGGAAGGTGCTCTAAGGTGTCCCTGGAGCCTTCTCTTCTCCAGACTGAACAGCCCTGGCTCTCTCAGCCTGTCTCCAGAGCAGAGATGCTCCAGCCCTCGAATCATCCGCATGGCCTCCTCTGGATTTGCTCAAACATCTCCACATCCTTCCTGTGTTTGGGGTCCCCAGCACCGGACACAGTGCAGTCCCACAGCATTTGTCCCCTTGTGCCCCACTCCACTTCTACCCCCTCCCAACGCACCCTTTCCCCACCCTCGAGTGCCCCACGCTCTCCCAGAGGTCCCGCCCACCCTGTGTCCCCTCAGAGCTCCGGGGAGCCACCGGGGCCGGGCCAGGCCGCCCCTCACCTGCCTCCTCCCGCCCGCGGGCGGCGCGGCCTAGTCCTCCCGCAAGGCCGCTTCCTGTCGCTATGGCAACCGCTG